CAGACATTCTTATTCAACACCACAACTGGAACTCGCCGTCAGTATGATGACTGTAGTGCTGATGGAAGAAATAAATAAGTTACAATGCTAAGAAAAATGGCATAAGTCGTACAATGTATGAGCTTGTCCAGGCCACTTCAGATTAGCAACGGCTCCAGAGCATCATGAACAGCTTTTCGAGTTACTCCCTATGCTAGCACTGAAATTTGCATATAATAGAAACGGGCTAGTGGCCTACCTCGCATTTCGATATGGTAAAAGCGTGTCCCAAATGAAGTCGACCATTCATGTACGGATATGGTAGATTGGCCGTGTATTTTGGTTCATTTCTAAAATATTCGTTCAATTCATCGCTCTGTTGTAGATCAGATATCTCTGCCCCAATGTAAGGCGCGATGTTGCGACTATCGCCTTTACGGGTTACCTCATCAACATCGCTGCCATACCCTAGGCTACCGCTTGCTCCAACTCCCCGGACTCCCCCCTCCTTCACTGCCGGACCCCGCGGCACTCATTTCCCTTTCGCGGATGTTCGTTTCTTTCTCTCTCTCTCCCTCCCTCATTCCCACGAGTATCACCATACCGTCTTTACCCCAAGTTCAGTAGAAACTGGCCCAATACGTTTTCTCTAACAACAGCCTGTATTAACAACAGCCTGTCAGCTGTCATTTTCGGTCCGTCAGCAAGCATCCGGGGATTTGCAAGTTTGCCGGAGCCGGCAACGATGCAGTGCATGCTCTCTCACCTGTCACTGGACGCGTCCACTTCGAAAACCCTCGCGTCACTCCATCGCTTCTGCATTTCAGCTTCGATTTCCAGAAGCTCCGCAACTTTTCTCCTCTCTTTCACAGCCATTCCTGCCTCACTGCGCACTGCCCCTGAACATAAAACACGACGGATGGAACTTCAAAATAAACACCAACGCGCACCAGACCAGTCGATACGATCATGCGTTTTGTGCAACTTAGCCCATCGAACGATTGCCTATCAATGATTTTCATTGCTTTGTACTTTTGTCTATGCAAAAATAGTTCAAACACTGGAAAATAGTTAAAAATTCCACGCATCTGCATATGAAAGCTGAATTTGAAACCCCGGAGGGTGAATATTTTCCCGTAACTCTCAAGTTAGTAGTTCGCCCACCAAAAATTTTCACGAGGCCGTAGGTGATACCCGAGAGTGCGGAAACTCTGAATATGTATTTGCAAAATCGTTCGTGGGCAGGGGGTCACAACCCTAAAATTTCAGCTTCCTAGATTTTGTGGTTCTCGAAATAACAATTTACCCGCAAGAACTTTCACTAGCCCGTAGGGGGTACCCGAGAGCGCAGGAACGCTGAATTGAATAGGCAAGGTTGAGCGTGGGTAGGGGATCATTACCCCAAAATTTCAGCTTCCTAAATCCCGCCGTTCCCCGGATAATAATTTACTCGTCAAAAATTTTCACGGGACCGTACATGTTATCCACGGGCATGGGAAAGCTGAATTTAAATTTTCTAGGAAACACGTGGGAGGGAAACACGCCCACAAATTCCCTGCCTTCTAGCTTACATGGTTCCCTTGATAATAATTCTACCCGTAAAAAAGTTTCACGGGGCCGTACGTGTCAACCGCGGGTACGGGAAGGCTGAATTTAAATTTGCCGTGACACACGTTGGTGGGGAACACTATACTAGAATTTTAGCCGCCTAATTTTTGTAGTTTCCGAGTTGAAAGTGCGGAACAAAATGCGGGACACACACACACACACACACACACACACATACACACAACCCCGTGACAATATGTGTTTTATACTGCTCTTACACAGCACAGAGCGCATAAAAATCGAAAATCACAGACACTGGCAAATTCAAAAAT